GGAAGAGGACAAGGAATAGGACTATTGTAAACCCTTGAGTCACCAACGATGTTGGAATTAACCCTCTCCAGACTCCCTCTTCATAGGCCCTTACTACGGCCATTTCTTTTGAGGGAACTGCCTCGTTGCAAGACAACTGTCCGAAGATCCGGACGCATCCCAAAACATTGTTCTCGGGAGTTTAACGTCGCGGATCAACCTGGTTGCTGCTTCTTGACAATCCAGAATCGTACCATTTTTGGGACTTCAACACCGCGAACCAACATAACTGCTGCACCCGCGTAATCCTGAATCCTTCCAAAGCGTTATATTTGATACGTTGATCATGGGAACCCTTGAACCTCTGCAACATTTTCCAACGAATGTGCGCGGCGCTAAGGCGAGAGCCACATTTTGAAAAGGAGCCGCCCTAAATCCGTAGGACTCCTGCAGATGTTTAAAACGACTGTGCGCGGCGCTAAGGCGAAGCCTCATTTTGAAAAGGAGCCGCCCTCAATCCGTGAAGCTCTTGCAAGTGTTTAATGCGAGTGTGCGCGGCGCTAATGCGAAAGCCACATGTTGAAACGTCACCCGCCCCCAATCCGTGAAACCCTTGCAACTGTTAAAAACGAATGTGCGCGGCGCTAAAGCGAGAGCCACATTTTGAAAACGATCCGCCCTCGATTTGTGAAACCGCTGTTATTCCCAACCATCCTGTGGTGTTGGGTCCTCGTTTTGAAGAGACGGTGCCCCGCGTCTCCTTCCTTCCTCCTCCCCCTCCTCCCTCCTCCCCCATCCTGGCTTTTGCTCTCCGCATGTCTCTGTTTCGGCACACCCCTCACACGTTTCGTGGCCCCATAGGGAGCTCCACCTAAGGTCCCAGTGGCGGAACTCGCATGGCGCCGCCGCCCCATTTTGGCACACCCCTCACACGTTTCGTGGCCCCATAGGGAGCTCCACCTAAGGTCCCAGTGGCGAACTCGCATGGCGCCGCCGCCCCATTTTGGCACACCCCTCACACGTTTCGTGGCCCCATAGGGAGCTCCACCTAAGGTCCCAGTTGCGAAACTCGCATGGCGCCGCCGCCCCATTTTGGCACACCCCTCACACGGTGGCCCCATAGGGAGCTCCACCCCAGGTCCCGGTGGCGGAACTCGCATGGCGCCGCCGCCCCATTTTGGCACACCCCTCACACGTTTCGTGGCCCCATAGGGAGCTCCACCTAAGGTCCCAGTGGCGGAACTCGCATGGCGCCGCCGCCCCATTTGGCACACCCCTCACACGTTTCGTGGCCCCATAGGGAGCTCCACCTAAGGTCCCAGTGGCGGAACTCGCATGGCGCCGCCGCCCCATTTTGGCACACCCCTCACACGTTTCGTGGCCCCATAGGGAGCTCCACCTAAGGTCCCAGTGGCGGAACTCGCATGGCGCCGCCGCCCCATTTTGGCACACCCCTCACACGTTTCGTGGCCCCATAGGGAGCTCCACCCAGGTCCCAGTGGCGGAACTCGCATGGCGCCGCCGCCCCATTTTGGCACACCCCTCACACGTTTCGTGGCCCCATAGGGAGCTCCACCTAAGGTCCTAGTGGCGGAACTCGCATGGCGCCGCCGCCCCATTTTGGCACACCCCTCAGACGCGTCGTGGCCCCATAGGGAGCTCCACCTAAGGTCCCAGTGGCGGAACTCGCATGGCGCCGCCGCCCCATTTTGGCACACCCCTCACACGTTTCGTGGCCCCATACGGAGCTCCACCTAAGGTCCCAGTGGCGGAACTCGCATGGCGCCGCCGCCCCATTTTGGCACACCCCTCTCGCCGTTGATCCGCGCGCGTCGCTGGGACCCTCTCGGGGCGACCAGCGCGCGTCGCGGGAATTCCACGCTGCGCTCTGCCCAGAGCCTCGCTCGCCCCCGTCGTCGCTCTGCCCAGCGGCCACAGTCTTGCCCGCTATCACCCAGCCAGCTAACACTCTCTCTGCTCCGCGCAGCGGACGACCCGCGCGCGTCGCAGGGACCCCATTCGGGGCGACCAGCGTGCGTCGCGGGGACTCTGCGGCGCCGCGCCCGCAGCCATGGACATCGGCGTGCACGGGCAAAGAGGCAGAAAAAGAAGGGGAAGGAAGCGGGCGCGATCCTCGTGAGGGGCGTGCCGACATGGGCGTCGATATTGATGCACGTAGACTGATTCGCACGCAGACACATTCACAATCAGACTTACTCGCGCTCAGGCTCACCCGGTCTCAGTCTCGCGCACTCAGAGCGATCGTCTTTGTTCGTATTGGGGACCCCGCCGCGCATTTCGGCACGCCCCCTCACACGGCTCGTGGCCCCATAGGGAGCGCGAGCGAAGATGAGATCCACACTCGCGGTATTCACAACTGCATATGGTTGGGTCCTTCGCCAGGCTGATTTTTAAGCTTCGGACTCATACATGGCGAGGAAGTCTCAGGCGAAACGCCTGGCCCGCCCTAAAAGCTGGCCTCGTGGTGCGGCAGGGAGACGTTATGTATAAGGAAAAGGAA